CCTTGGGGAGTTATTCATTTTCTGCAGTCTCTGTTTGTGCACCTATAAAATAGGATGATAATATCAAATTCACTCTGCACCAATAAGTTACAAATAGTAATACCTGGGATAAAAATCATTGTCGATCAGGAAAAGATATCTGTGAACTTGTCTTCCATAATTTTATCTTTCTTCAACAAAAATATAATCAATTATATAATTCAATATCAAATCAGTACTTTTAAAATTATTGTATTAAATGATCTGAAGAATAAAAATACATTCAATTAATTCTGGGTTTGTAATCTCAGCAACTCAAGGAGCTAGGGAAGAGGATCATAACTTCAAGGTAGCCAGTCTGGGAAAGTTAGTGGACCCTATTTCAGGAATAAAAGAAAAAAAATTATACATACACACACACACACACACACACATGTATATATAATACATATACTATAATAGTATATAATATATAGTACCAGGGATTAAACCCAGAGGTGCTCAACTACTGTAAATTCATATTTGCTATAAACTCTACTCTTGGATTTTAAATGTGTAGTGAACATAGGGAAGTATCTGATCATTTTATTTGGAAAAATGGTTGATTGACTAATGATGCCCTCATTTTGTGATTACCTGTAACTTTTGTTGAAAGAGGAACTTGAGAGAGAATAAGAATGTAAGAACATTTAATGATACAACTGAAATCCTTCTGGTCATAGCCTGGAAATGAAACTATAGCCCTGAGCAAATATTATCCATTCTCATCATCAACTGGAGAGTCCTTTATCTATGGTTGCTAAGATCATCTGTTATGAGAGGCAAAGCAATTGAAAAAAGTTCACTTGAACTCAAATACATGGAGTAGAACCCTTTGGAAAGGGATCAGTGCCAAAGAAATGTTCCCTGAAGGCATTGAAAATGTTTAGCTCACATAAAAATTCCCATTCATATGTGTTTAATTCCCATAAGGAAATTAACTGTTATACTTGATATTATCCTTGGGAATTGTTTGGGTGCTTTTCAAACTTGTTTTATTTCTCTAAAATGCATTTATTATAAACATAATTATTTTAAGTATTTTGGTAGCTCATTACAAAAGGTGTGTTTTGAGTAGAACCATATATTTGTGTCTATATTCTTTGCTTTCAGCATTGTAATGATTATCTTCATAGAGGTGGGAAAACCTTCACATTTTCTTTTCAGGGTTCATTGTTCATAATTATTTTTATAATTAAATATCAAATCATACTTAAAAACTATCATGTGAAATGAGCTGAAGAACAAAAATATACTCAGTTATGTTGAATATATATTGAGCACACTACCACACTTTTTTATGGCACAAATACAATAAACTATTTGAAGAGAATAAAACTGGAAGCATTTTATAACATCTATAAATGGTAACTTGATTTGTGCTTTCAGAGGTGGGGAAAAATAATTTAATTGATAGAGATAGAGGAGGATGCAATCTGAATATCAATTTCAGGTTACCTAAATGTGATTATTGAAGGGAACTTAAATATGTTCTTCGGCTTCCTTCACATACAGGTATTATTCGGTCAGGTAAAAAACAATAGTAACCAATTATGGTTAAAAGTGTGATTGTAGATGATCACCATAAATATATATATATATATATTCTTTTTAAGCATCCAGCATTCTTTCTCTCTCCTCTTCAGAGCCATGCCTATTTCTATCCTTCACTGACACTGCACTAGGCTGCTTTCCCTTCTCAGGGTAGAGTCTAGGGCCAATATGTTTCATAACTAAGTCCTATTATTCACAAAGTAACCCAAGTATCTTTTCCTTCAATTTAACTCTACTACTCTGCAGTTTTCAAATGCATAGAATTTGTTTTCAGAAGTGGTTTCAAATTGATTAAGCTATTTTCTTTCTCTCTTTATGTGGTAATGGCATTAGGTAAAAACAGGATTGTTTCAGTAGTATAATGGTGTGTCTGTAGAAAGCTCTCCACCCACTCCCTCATCCATATACTAAATTGAGAGTTAATCCCACCCCTCCTCCACTGAATTTTACCAGAAAAGGATTGCAACATATTTGATTTGATGAAAGCATATGTATAAACTTTTTCCTTTTAAGAATTAGTTTCCATGGCTGGGGCTTTAGCTCAATGGTAGAGTACCTCACATGTGTGAGGCAACTGGGTTCCAACTTCAGCACCACATAAAAATAAATAAATAAATAAACTTATATAGAGAAGGAGGAGGAGGAAGAGGAGGAGAAGAAGGAGGAGGAGGAGGAGGAAGAAGAGGAGGAGGAGGAGGGACTTAGTTTCCAGGCAGGGCATGGTGATGCATGCCTGTAATCCCAGGGACTCAGGAGGATTCTGAGTTCAAAGCCAGCCTCAGTAATTTAGCAAGGCCCTAAGTAACTCAACAAAACCCTTCTCTATATAAAATATTTTAAAGAAATGACTGGGGATGTGGCTCAGTGGTTAAGAATCCCCAAGGTACCCCCCCCCCCCACACACACACACAAAAGCACTTTCTAAATTTAGAAAAGAAAAATCACTTTAACACATGTAACACTCTCCTTAACCTTGGGAATTTCCCCCAATTTAAGTTCTTTCTCCAAAGTTTCACTCTTTAGCCTTCTCAAAATGCACACACGCTCAAATTTTGTTTTTTAATACAAAATTTTTGCCAGCTTGTAACAACTTTCCAACTTGCCAATATGTAATTAAAAGGAAAAATGGTGTAAACTTACATCTCTGCTTTCACTGAAGAAAGCACCAAGCAATATTTTTTTAATCATATGAATTCCAAATGCTCAAATGATGCAGAAAATTCTTGGATATTGATGGAAAAGGTGTCCACTTCAAGAAAAGATAGATAGAGAAGCAGTATTATCTCACTTTTGCCCCTCTGGAAAGCATGTGGAACTTGGTATATTATTAATAAGCTTCAAGTTTGAGGAACCTGGTGATTCTCTTGCTGGGAAAAAAAAAAAAAAAAACAGAGCATTCTGTTCCCCAGCACCAATGACCCAGCAAGCATCTGTGAGGAGAGGTGCTGCAGGCTACCAGCAGATAATCTTTCCAGAGAGCTCAAGAGACCCCGGATTTCTATTCCTTCCTCTCAAAGCAACTGGTTATTTACTTGTATGCATTTTAAATTCATTCAGATCTGAAGTGCAAACTTTGTATGTGGGGTGTGTGTGTGTGTGTATTTGTGAGAAAAAAAAGAGAGAGAGAGAGAGAGAGAGAGAGAGAGAGAGAGAGAGAGAGAGAGAGAGAGAGAGAGAGGGAGAGAGAGAGAGAGAGAGGAAAAGAAAAAGAAGAAGAAGTGGGGGCGGGGAGGTGTATGTGGGGGGGGGGGGGGGGGGGGGTGTGTGTGTGTGTGTGTGTGTGTGTGTGTGTGTGTGTGTGTGTGTGTGTGTGTGTGTTGTGTGGGTGGGTGGATGTGTGTGTGTGTGTGTGTGTGTGTGTGTGTGTGTGTGTTGCTGTACACCCGCCTGCCTGACAGTGGGTCAAGAGCACTCACGAATTGGGATTTTTTTTCCTGTCCCCCCCTCTCCTTTTCCAGGTCTCAGTGAAAGATTCGGGGTCTGGAATCCAAAGACAGACGCATGCATTGTATATCCATCCTGCAGACTTAAATAACATTCAAGAAATCATCAGGAAAAACCTAGCTCTCAACGACCAAATTGAGTAAATTTCTACAGAAACTTTAAAAAGGAAAAGAGTATGCTTAAATCATATAGCTTGCAACAAATATTTCATACCTAGTTGTGATATTATGCAATGTATGTTCCGAATAGCCACTTTCAACATGCCAAAAAAAAAAAAAAAGGTTTCAAAAACATCAAGTAGCATAAAACGCTGTACCGCAGAGAAGGCAGAAATGCATTTAAAGCACCGATGAAAATGGCGTGCAGTATAATTACCTCAAATTGCTGTTCGCTTGACACCCTGACACTAATTTTATTCAAGCCATTGGGAAATAAATGTTTTAAAAGCACTGCTTTCCGAACGATACAGCTAGCGGGGGCTGTGAGGCTGTTAAGGAAAGGAAAGGGTAAAGTTTTCAGCACGCAAAAAGAATTAAATAATCCATTTAAAACAAGCGTCTATGTAGATCGACAGCCTTTAATGCCCACATTTTTAACGCTTGCCCTGTATGTGGATTGATTTTTTTTTTTTCTTCAGCATTCCCTCACCAGATGGATTTTTGCTACTGCAGATCAGCAGAGGGTGTCAGATCTTTCAGAGTGCACCAGGCTGGAACGAGCAGAGCTTCTTAGCAACTCCCCCCCATCCACCCCCCCCGCCCCATTCTCGCGCTCTCTTCCTCCCTCAGACAACTAGCTCCCCCTCTCTCCTCCCCCCTCCACGTAATTCCGAAAGAGCAGAAGAAAGAGGAGAACAAGAAAAGAGGAGCGAGTAAGCGAGAGTGGAAGCACAGGGGGAAAAAAAAAAAGCCTGAAGAGGTTCAAAGGGGAGGAAAGGGAAAGGATGGACAACCACAAAACGCAGCGATTGCGGAAATTTTCCAGCGCCATTGGCTGGGCAGCGTGAGTCCTTTGGTCGGGCGTGATTTCAGCACCGGGGGGACTGGACAGCACCTCGGGGGGACTTCTGGGCAACCCGCAACCACAGCAAGAACTCCACCAGCAGCCTCAACAACAGAAGCCGCCGAAAAGCCTGCTTTGTATCAGAGAGGCAAGGTCAGTCCGACGCACAGCCATGCACAGGCAGTGCGCCTGTACTACGCTGCAAACCTGCTTGTTTCTCTAACATGCACTTGCTTCTAATTACTAGCATTGTTCCCTTTCTTATTAGTGAGGACCTCTAGACAAGATCTGTAAGGGTATATTTTTAATTTATATGTATATACTTAACTTCTTTGGGGCTATCTTTAAAGGTTTGAGGTAGARTAGAATTTTTTTTCCTTTTTTCTTTTTCTTTCTTTTTTTGCTTGCCTTGCACTACGTGCCTGAATAGTTTGTGAATATAATTATTGACTGGCGTCTGGGCTATTGCAGTGCGGGGGGGTTAGGGAGGAAGGAATCCACCCCCACCCCCCCAAACCCTTTTCTTCTCCTTCCCTGGGTTCGGACATTGGAGCACTAAATGAACTTGAATTGTGTCTGTGGCGAGCAGGATGGTTGCTGTTACTTTGTGATGAGATCGGGGATGAATTGCTCGCTTTAAAAATGCTGCTTTGGATTCTGTTGCTGGAGACGTCTCTTTGTTTTGCCGCTGGAAACGTTACAGGGGACGTTTGCAAAGAGAAGATCTGTTCCTGCAATGAGATAGAAGGGGACCTACACGTAGACTGTGAAAAAAAGGGCTTTACAAGTCTGCAGCGTTTCACCGCCCCGACTTCCCAGTTTTACCATTTATTTCTGCATGGCAATTCCCTCACTAGACTTTTCCCTAATGAGTTCGCTAACTTTTATAATGCAGTTAGTTTGCATATGGAAAACAATGGCTTGCATGAAATCGTTCCGGGGGCTTTTCTGGGGCTGCAGCTGGTGAAAAGGCTACACATCAACAACAACAAGATCAAGTCTTTTCGAAAGCAGACTTTTTTGGGGCTGGACGATTTGGAATACCTCCAGGCTGATTTTAATTTATTACGGGATATAGACCCCGGAGCTTTCCAGGACTTGAACAAGCTGGAGGTACTCATTTTAAATGACAATCTTATCAGTACCCTACCTGCCAATGTGTTCCAATATGTGCCCATCACCCACCTCGACCTCCGGGGGAACAGGCTGAAAACGCTGCCCTATGAGGAGGTCTTGGAGCAAATCCCTGGCATTGCTGAGATCCTGCTAGAGGATAACCCTTGGGACTGTACGTGTGATCTGCTGTCCCTGAAAGAATGGCTGGAAAACATTCCCAAAAATGCCCTGATCGGCCGAGTGGTCTGCGAAGCCCCCACCAGACTACAGGGTAAAGACCTCAATGAAACCACCGAACAGGACTTGTGCCCTTTGAAAAATCGAGTGGATTCTAGTCTCCCGGCGCCCCCTGCCCAAGAAGAGACCTTTGTTCCTGGCCCCTTGCCAACTCCTTTCAAGACAAATGGGCAAGAGGATCATATCACCCCAGGGTCTGCTCCAAATGGAGGTACAAAGATCCCAGGCAACTGGCAGATCAAAATCAAACCCACAACAGCGATAGCAACGGGTAGCGCCAGAAACAAACCCCCAGTCAATGGCTTGCCCTGCCCTGGGGGCTGCAGCTGCGACCACATCCCAGGGTCGGGTTTAAAGATGAACTGCAACAACCGGAACGTGAGCAGTTTGGCTGATTTGAAGCCCAAGCTTTCCAACGTGCAGGAGCTTTTTCTGCGAGATAACAAGATCCACAGCATCCGAAAATCTCACTTTGTGGATTACAAGAATCTCATTTTGTTGGATCTGGGCAACAATAACATCGCCACCGTGGAGAACAACACTTTCAAGAACCTTTTGGACCTCAGGTGGCTGTATATGGATAGCAACTATCTGGACACGCTGTCCCGGGAGAAATTCGCTGGACTGCAGAATCTAGAGTACCTGAACGTGGAGTACAACGCGATCCAGCTCATTCTCCCCGGCACTTTCAATGCCATGCCCAAACTGAGGATCCTCATTCTCAACAACAACTTGCTGAGGTCCCTCCCAGTGGACGTTTTCGCTGGGGTCTCGCTTTCTAAGCTCAGCCTGCACAACAATTACTTTATGTACCTCCCGGTGGCAGGGGTACTGGATCAGTTAACCTCCATCATTCAGATAGATCTGCATGGAAACCCCTGGGAGTGTTCCTGCACCATTGTGCCTTTCAAACAATGGGCAGAACGCCTGGGTTCCGAAGTGCTGATGAGCGACCTCAAGTGTGAGACGCCTGTGAACTTCTTTAGAAAGGATTTCATGCTCCTCTCTAATGACGAGATCTGCCCCCAGCTGTATGCGAGGATCTCGCCCACGTTAGCTTCGCACAGTAAAAACAGCACTGGGTTGGCGGAGACCGGGACGCACTCCAACTCCTACCTAGACACCAGCAGGGTGTCCATCTCGGTGTTGGTCCCGGGACTGCTGCTGGTGTTTGTCACTTCCGCCTTCACCGTTGTGGGCATGCTCGTGTTTATCCTGAGGAACCGAAAGCGGTCCAAGAGAAGGGATGCCAACTCCTCGGCGTCCGAAATTAATTCCCTACAGACAGTCTGTGACTCTTCCTACTGGCACAATGGGCCTTACAACGCAGACGGGTCCCATAGAGTGTATGACTGTGGCTCTCACTCGCTCTCAGACTAAGTCCTCAACCCTAACAGGGGAGGGGAGCAGGAAAGCGATCAACATCCTCCCCTACCGCCGGCATCCCAGGGGTTAGAGGAGCGCTGACCCAAATCCAGCTTGCCCCAAGCCTTGATGGACATAAGTAAATAAATAACGATAAACTCACTTAACTGAAGGGGTCTGACCTCAGAGCAGCTCCCTTCTGGAAACAAAGAGCAGACTGTGCGGAGCTGGGAGAGCGCTCAACTAGCTTGCTCTATGCTCTGAGGTCCTTTTGAGTGAAAGCCCAGCCTGGGCTCTGCCAGAAGAATTGACAGTGCTCTTACCCCGGGCAAGGACCTGTGGGGATGGCTGCCGCAGTTCTATACATATATACATATATCCACATCTATATAGAGAGATAGATATCTATTTTTCCCCTGTGGACAGCCCCATGATGGCTCCCTGTTGGCTACGCAGGGATGGGCAGTTGCACGAAGGCATGAATGTATTGTAAATAAGTAACTGACTTCTGACACACGAAAAGTGCTGCATGGCTCGCATGGAATCCACGCGCTCCAGGGACTCTGCCCGCCCCTCACCCCCCTGCTCCTCCCAGCAACTGGAGATGGCGTCTCCTTCACAGCACCCATCCTCTTACCTGATAAGTCCCATCATCAAACTTTCTATAAACAAAATACAGTATAATCAGAAAGTGCCATTTCGCCATTATTTGTGATCAGTAGGCAGTTCCAAGAGTATGTTTACTGTGAAAAAAAAATGTAAAGGTTTTATTATTTAAGACATTTGCATGGCTAATCATCAGTCCATTTTATGAGTTAGCAATGTATTTTGTTGAGGGAAGTTTTTAGGGGTTGTTTTGGGTTCTTTTATTTTCATGGTAATGTTTTATTTTATTTTTTGAGGGGTAATATTTTTCTATACATATCCAATAATGCCTTCCATCTGAATGTAAAATAAGTACCCATGATTTCTATTATAGTACCAGTGTAATTATTTAAGAAAAAAAAGATTTTGAGGCAGTTAAGCATGACCAATTAATGTCACTCTAGTGCTTAGGCTGCGATCATATGGTAGCAATTCTGTGCTGGTATAAATCTTACTTATAAAGTAGGAAAGAAGAACCAAGGAAGCACGTGAAACTTACTAATTCTATTCGAGGATTTTATAATGGCATATTTTTTCAGTATTAAAGTGAAAATGTTTTCAAATCTGGGTCCTTACATTTTTCCAGCTTATATTTGCAACTGTTAAATTGGATTTGCGGTGGAAGGGAGGGGGGGAGGGAAACGGTTGGGGGTGGATCCCCTTCTTGAGCTACATTAAGGCTCTTTTCTCTAATCTCCTTAGCCTTTTACCCTTTATGTAGCTCCTCTTTCCCTAGTCCCCACCCCCGCCCCTGCTCAGACTTTATGGGTTTTCTCCTGTCCACTAAGTAAGGTCTTCCTCCAACACACTTCCTCCCTGCCCCCTTCTCTTAATGCGGCAGTGAATCCCTTTATTAATACGGGAAATCCCTGGCTGCTGCTTTTGTTGGTGCTGCCTACACTGCAGATATATTAAGGATGTTAGGAGAGATTTGATTTAATTGATTCTGCCTAGATCGGTCTCATTAAACGGAGTGGAGATTTCATTGGTCAGCACTCCTCCATGAAAGACAGCCCTAATGACTGGCATTTGAGATGCTGCTGGCATTTTGAATCCAACATCTGCTGAAAACGGTAAAACTAATTAGCGTCCACCCACCCTCCCCGCCCCAGCAACTGCATATTGAAATTTGTTAAAGCACTCATCTTTATGGAAATCAATCATTATCCTAAAGAAGTGTTTCTCTCCCATCATCTGGATTTCTGGTTGTGGCCCAGTAATTAACAAGAAAAGCATTGAAGTATTTGAATTATATGAACCAATGCAATTCTGGCCTCAGTCACATTCCTCTGGGATTTCTAAGCAAGTGTATTTTATGAACAGCTAGGCTACAAAACCACACATATTGATGGGATTTTCATTCCACCACATATCCACCCTTGAGAAGTATGTTAAAAAAAAAAAAAAAACCAAACTTTCAGACCACAGACAAAAAAAAAAAAAAAAAAAAAAAAAAAAAAAAAAAAAAAAAAAACAAGAAAGAAAAAAAAGAAAAAAAAAAGTATAGAACTCTAAGTCACCTAATGAAAGATGAAAGTCCAGAACCAGTCTTAAATAGATTTGCCATCTAGAACTCATATTCTAAAGGGAAGTAATTTCCCAGAACAATGCTGTTCTGGACTATGTACTATTTATTTTAACATTTTTAAAATAAAATCTTTATGATAAACCATGACAGTTCCTAAGGCCATTCATCATTTTTTCTCTTGGTTCTTTTGTTTGTGGACTGCATTTCATATGGTAAAACTGGGATCTACTATCCTCTGACAAATATTATGGGTTGTTTTTTATTTATTTATTTTTATTTTGAAAGTTTTGCTTCTTTTATGAAAAAAACGAATGGTTTTCTGATAAGAACCAAAGGATTTGTTTGTGATAGAAAAATTGGAGAAGAGAGCCACATATTCTACAACATTATGACCCAGAGAAGGGGGGAAACAAAGGCAGGTATAGAAACAATGACTTTGTTGGAAGGTGGCATTTAAAAAAGATGTCTACTGAGGAAGGGTAGTAATTTTTAAAACTGATGTATGACTAGTATAATTCCAGAAACTAGACCTCTCAGAAGGTTTGCACAGGGGCAACAACTTTTCCTCATCCTGATTAAAAAGGAATTACTAAGTAGAAGCCAAGGTTGAAGGGGTACCATTGTTTTTAAAATAGTAACTTTAATAGTTTTTGTATAGTCATTTCACATAATCATTCAGCTTAATCTTCAAAACCACAGGATAATTTAGTATGATACTACTGTTTCTATTACATAAAAGTGGAATCAAACCGAGGGCTTCATGTATGACAGACAAGTGCTCAACCACTGAACTGCATCACAGCTTTCTCATATTTATCTTGAGACAGAGTCTTGCTAAGTTGCCCAGACTGACCTGGAACTCTTGCCTTAGCCTACAGAGCAGGTGGGATTAGAGTCGTGCTCCACCATACCTGGTTGTTTACTATTTTGATATAATATTATTGCCACTTTATATTAGGTGTGAGCTTAATAGATTTGTGTTTAATTAAAATTTATACACATATTTAGTTTGCAGGACACATAATCCATATGTTCTTACCATGTCTCTTTCATTTAGGAGTACTTAGCATCTTCTTTTTATTTCATCTTTACATAAAATGTTCATATAATTCTACTTGTCATTTGTATTAGTTGAGATATCTTGTTTCCAGTTAAATCATTCTTTTTTAATTCATCAAAGAGATGAAGAGATCTGGGTAAGGTCTAATGAAAAAAAAGAGAAAAGAATAAGATATTTTATTTAGTTCCATTGCTTTAAAGAAAGTAGTAGTTTCTGTTACTAAGAATATCCTAGAACCTAACTTGTTGCCATAGAAATTTATTGTTTAACTATTTTATATATTTATGTAAGAGGAAGCTGGAATTGCTGATCTAAAATTTACATAAAGAGTTTTATTCTTAACAGTATTTGGGTTAGATGTAATTAGAATTTTCAAACATTTTAATAAGTCTTAAAATTATATTGGTAAATCCAAAGACAGTTTGTTAATTTAGCTTTTTCAGGTTTCTAATAAATCTTATATTGTATGTACAGAGAAATGGATGAATGTGCAAGGATGAACAGTGAAGAGTGCATTTATAATATGTAATTACATAAAAGGCATATTAATTACATTGGTTACTAATTCACTATTTCTACTAGAAAATTTATAAATATTTTTATTTGTGTTTATTTGAAAAAGATAGAGATATAAACTGTGTTAAGGATTTAATTTTAGCATATATTGTTTTGATTCGTTTTCTCTCATTTAAATATCTATAAAATAAGATATGGTATTTAATTTTTGAAAGATGGTCTCTGTATGCTATTAACAGAATTAGAGTAAAAGCATATTCAAGTTTTTAAAGTTATATTATTTACCTCAATTTAGCCCTGAACAAAAGGAAGAGGGGGGAAATTAAACAGGTTTTATATAATCACCAGGCACTTTCTTTTATCTATAGTGTTGGCAAAATGTTATTTTCAAAACTAACATATAGTACATATAAGATGTTTCTTCTTGGAGTTAAAATCTGAAGAAATACCTTCAAATTTTGATTCCACGAAAAGCATATTATATTGTAATTTGAAACATAAACTGACATTGACTCGGTTGTGACATATCAAAATGTGATTGAATTTTTTGGGGAAAAAAAACACTGGAGAGTTAAGATAATAATGGATGCTGTGTTGAAGAACTATAATTTTAAAATGAAATTTTAAAAAGTGGAAAAATCATTTTAGATTTTCTTTAAATCTTTTACCTCAATTGACTGGCAATTTCAGTTTATTGGCTTGGATCTTAATTATCCAATTGGCTACCTTTCTCCCATTTACTTTCTAAATATATCTTATATTACACTCATGAAATAGAATTACATTTCATACTTGAACTTTGCATAAAGCTTACTGGAGAACTCTTTAACAGTTTAAATAATTTTGAATATATTAGATCTATATTTTCAACTGCCAATGTTAACTGGGCACATGGTACAAACACACACACACACACACACACACACACAAATATAAGAGTTATTTCTTGGTATATGGGGGATTGGTTCTAGGATGCCCACAGATATCAAAAACGATAAATGCTTAAGTTCCATATGGTAATCTCTAGATTACTTTTAATACATGATAAATGTAACTGTTATGTGAATAGTTATTGTACTCTATTGTGTTGGAAATCATAACAATGAAAAAGGCTTATACATATTCAGTATATATACACTTTTTTTTTTTTTTTGGTGGTGTTGAGGATTGAACCCAGGGCCTTGTGCATTCGAGGCAAGCATTCTACCAACTGAGCTATATCCCCAGCCCTAGATACACTCTTTAAAAATATTTTTAATCCATGATGAGTTAAATCCACCAATGAAGAATCTAAGGGTCAATTTTATTATAGAAAGTTTCTTAGGAAAAGAAAATAAGGCAGTGCTAACACCCCAAATTTTATAACCACAATAATAAGATATAGATGTCACTGTAATCATTGAAGAATAGTATATCATTGGCATTGTTTGAAGAATACCACTAAAACAGTTTGTGTTTATTTTGTTTAAGTAATTTAGGATTTTAGTCATTTGGAAAAATGCAGTCATCACATTAGTTATAATGCAAAAGTTTGAAAATCTTCAAACAATGTTTTAAATGAAAGAGATACTTTACCATGCTGGTTTTATTTTCATTTCTTTTTCTGTAAAATGGAAATAATGCTTGCTGTTTTGTAACTTCATTAAGGGTTTTCTGWCTATTTCAAAAAGAAACAAACTAGTTTTTATCTTAACAAGTGAATTACTAATGATTTTCAATTTCAGTTATTTGAAATATAAAATTTTCATTTAGAAAATT